GTGAACAGAAGTGTTCGTAACCCGAGGTTCCACTGTAGTGGTTTCTAGAGTTTAATTAAGAGGGGATTGAATCCTCCACCACCAGTGACTTACAATGTCTGAGCTGTCTTCCTTTGCCTCTGCTTTTGTTTTGTGGTGTTTTTCCTAGAAAGTGACCAAGAATGGAAAGAGCAGAATAATTAAGCAAATAAAGTGGACACCGAACAAGCCTTCTAGCTACGTCACAGTTGCCAGGCTGGTGAAAGGTGAGGCTGTGCTGTTTTTCTTCTGCTCAAGATTCTGTGAAAGAGAATTCATGCCCAATTTCTGTGCTTATGGTAGAAACCCTTGGAAAGTTTCTAGCCCCTGGTGCAGAGAGCTTGGAACAATGTATTTGTTATTTATTTAAGAAACTCACAGGGGCCAGTGTTGAACTGAACGATGGCAAATGTAAAACCTCTGGTAGGTGAGTTTTCATCAGTGGGTGTTGATTGATTTCATAGCATTCAGTAGTATGACTGGCAAAGAGAATCTGGAATGGATGTCAGAGAAAAGGGCCACTCATGTGTATTAAATGAAGGAGTGGGACACAGCTAGGTATAAGGTCATTTTAATTCTTGCTTTCCCTTTTTTTTGGCAGACAAATTGTTATATGGTGACTCAGAAGGATTTCTCTGGAGTCAGACACTGCAAATTGAGGAGGAGGAAGAGGAGCAGGAAGAAGAGGAGGAAGAAATGTCTGAGGGCTGGCAAAGGAGGAAGGTGAGAAGTCAGAAGAATGATTGCCCATCTCCTCTAGGTAATACCATGTGAGCAAGAATGGGAGCAGCATTGTTTCTCAGCCAATTCAAGCAACTGATTGGAAACACTGCTGCTTCCATTTCTGCTCCCTTGTCATGTCAATGGAGGGAATGGCCCACTTCCGGGCCTGATTCAAATGCTAAAGTTCTTTCTCCTTCAGTGCCAGGAGTCCACGTAGTGGAATCCCCTGGGACCAGTTGTTATTGTTCAGCTTTGCCTGATGCAACGGCTAAAATTTGCTCCAGCTCGTCTTGTTTTCTCCTTAGATCCATAGTGACAAAATTACAGCTTTGCATCTGGTGGGAGACAGGATTGTAACGGCTTCACATGACCAGGTTGTGAAGATTTGGGATGGCAGCACAATGAAACTTGTGAGTGACTCTGAACTATGTTGGGCTGAATGTAGGCAGGTGCCTCCCCCTGCCCCACCTTGTTCTCCTTTAATGCATGTTTCATTTTCCCATCTGTGTCTTTCACACAGATGCCAAATGCATTTGAAATACATCGGATGGCCAGAATGCCTGGAATTAATCCAGAGAGCTTCTTACATGATTTGTTTATATGAAAAATCCTGTCTGTCATTAATACTGGTTTTAGGACCAAGACTTGGATCAACTATTATATATTTTTAGTAACACAGGGAAGATAATGCCCACATAGCCACTTCCTGCCCTGCATCTCTACTTTGCCAAACTCTATAGAAACATGTGAAGACTTTCTCACCACAATTAGACAATCTCTGGGTAGCCCCAATTGACTCTCCCAAGATTACAAGCCAACCCCGAATTTTGCATTCTTCTGCTGACATCTCATTTCTGCTGTTTCTCCTCCCCCCTTGTCTTGACTACAGGTGGGCCAATTCCGATGCCAGGCCCCAATTTCTTGTCTCCAGCCCTGCCCTCGCACGGACTCTTCTGTCCTCCTAGTGGTGGGTGATACTCTGGGCACTGTTTACTTCCTGCATTGGGGCCACCTTTCTGAGTGAGGAGCTGCTGAACTTGTCCTTTGAATGCCATTCTGTCTCTTTTGACCTGTTCAGCAAACCTCAGGTGCTGAGGTGATCCTTCTGTTTCTTGTGACCTACAGGTTCTTGGTACCTGTGTTGCAGCTGATGGTTGCTTAATAATCATGAGGCTCAGACTGAGCCTTACAATCAGAGAAGAAATAAAAATTCAAAACTCCACTTGATCATAGTGGAGTCTGGATTGAATACAATTCCATTGTTTAATTATAACTGTAAGTGGAAAAGAAATCTTCTATTTAAATTCCACATAAATTTAAATTAATTTCCTTTGCCATATGTGGCAAAAGTCTCCTTTAGAATTTTTTAAAATATGTTTTTTCCCCCTATCTCTCAGTCCAAGCCACTTATATTCTCTCCAAACATGATGCCTAATATTGGTGAGAGTATTAAGAGCATCCTAACCTTTCTATTTGGATTTGTATTACAGAGGAAACTAATAAGTACTATGAGTGAGACTATTTGGGCCTAGTTAAGGCAGACATGGAATTCAGATTTGCTTATGGTCACTTTAGTGAACTTATTTAGGGCTACAAAAATCAGACAACCTAGACTTCCATCTCTCTTAATAGCCACTGAGGAGTTGCTCAGATTTTTTCTACCAAGATCCAGAAGCTCTAAATTAAGAGTCTCACTTGGCCTTTTTTAGGCCTAGCCTACTTGCTTGGCTTCTGGCGACAATTCCGTGTCATTCTGTAGATATCCTTTGGAGGAAGGATGGGGTTCAAATGCGCTACAAGTAACATATCTAGTATTTGGGTTTTCTTCCCTCCCACAGTTGAAAGATAAGTCACAGCTAAGAGTAACCTTGAGATGCACTATCCATTCTGTGCATGAACAGAACAGCTGGTTTGGGATGATCTGTGCCCAGAATGAAATGGGTCTTGGTTGGTTTGGGCAGAACTGATTGGGTGAGAAAGCAGGAGAAAGCCAAGTACATCAGCAGTGGGAGGGAGGGAGGAAAGACCCTTGAGTCTGGCGGCCTATGCTACTTTTGGATTTTGTTTCATCCAGAACCCAGAAAGTCCAAAGCATTCTGGGATTCAGCTCTGCAGAACTGTGGCTGATCTAAAATGGTTTGGCTGATCCTTCTGAATGTTCAAAACATTCTGTGCACCTCTATAGTGGATATTTGGTCTACTAGAGAAGGGAGGATTAAAATATATAAATACACTAATTACACTTATTAAAAGATACAAAAGAAATGTTCTCATTTTCTTCCATCCATATCCAAAGCCATTGACATACACCAAAGAGCGGAGCAACATTTATTCCTTTATTTAAAAAGATTTCAAGCAATGTGGGTATTTCTACGGGGACAATTTGCATGCAGTCGAAGAAGAGAAAATAATGAGAAACTGGAAACCCTGAGGATTAGCTTTCCTTGCTGGCATCATCTTTTTTGTCCTTCAGGAGCCAACTTAGTAGCAGAAATGTAAATTAAAGTACTACAAAAGTCTTCTAACTGCACAACAGAGGCAGTTACAGGAGTCGAGGTCTTCAGCCTCTTGGCCTGAAGGCACTTGACATGTCCCATCAAAAAATAAGCATCCGTGCTTCAAGTTGTCATTCTTGGGCAAGTTTTTCCCTCTGTTTTTTTCCCCGTTCACCAAAGCTGTATAAAATTGAAGCGCACCTTGAGGAGGTACTTCATACGCACCTGGCGTGGGTCATAGACAATGAATTCGTTGTAATTTAGAGTATAGCCGTGAGACTTTGCTACCCCAGTTTCTGTAGCTGGGCCCAGAGGTACAGTTGCGCCGCGCCTGATCAGGAAGGAAAGAGACATCACCGCTGTGTTGCCACAGTTCCATCCATAAATTCCCAAAATTTTAAAAGGAGAAAACACTAACTTTGTATAATTTCAGTTAATCTTCTCCATGCCAATGGCTAGTGTTAAGACATCCAACAATACGGTTTCTACTTGATTATCAAGACTGAAAATCAAACATTTTTGTAGCGTAGCCTGCCTTTTTCAAAAAAAAGGGGCATTTTGTTCAACAATGACTCTTAAAATTAATGAAAGAGATACAGGGTCTCACAAAGCTACAGAAACTGATATGAAATATGAAAGGAACGCCACATTCTAGCTACATTATCTTTTTTTCTTTGTTTTACAATTCTGTGTTTGCTCGGGGAGGGAGTGTGGAAGCAAACAGGTCAGTACAGAGCCTTGTGCTCACTTCACCTCCTTTTAACACCAGATTTCAGCACTGCTTCCACCCTTCTAACTCTATCTTTGATAACTTAAATCACATTTCCCCACACTGACACCAGTCAGATTGCATTGGCTGAATATTGTGGGAGCAGCAATGTCTACACCTATTCCCAGATTAGGGGAAACTGACTGAATGGGTGATTTTTCATCCCAGCGGTTCCCTTCATCATCCCAAACTCACAGAGAAACACAATTGGCTGGAGCCAGTTTGCCAAGGCCTTTGGTGCTGTGTTTGCTGACTAGCAGTTTTTCTGCTTCTGGATTGGCCTCCAACAGTTCGTTGCACTCTCCCAGAGCCACCTGTAACAAATACAGAACTTATGCATTGACTCACATGTACTGCATAGATCAGTGTTGTCCAAACTTGGCCACTTTAAGATGAGTGGACTTCAACTCCCAGAATTCCCCAGCCAGCATGGGTAG